GAAGCCATCAAGGAACTGCAGCATGTGCGGGTCGGTGCGTGCGGGTTGCGCTGCTATGCGTGTGAGCATGTGTATGGTGTCACGGGCGACGTGCTCGTCAATGCGCGCGCGCAATCTGCCATCCCGTCCATGGCCGCTCATGAAGTTGGTAGGATGCGCCCGCATGCGTGCGCGCGCCTGTGCATTGCCTTTGGCGCGCGTGATGAGTAGGCCGTGTACGTGCGACTGCAGTATACGAAGGGCTCGTGACTGCTGTGCCCCCGCTGGCCGCCGCCGTGCCAAAGCGCCTCCCGCGGTGGTGCGCTGGCATTGTGGCACTGGCGCTCCCCCGCAGTAGTCTTCTGCAGGCTTAGAACCTAGGCCAACGAGGGGGTGGAGCTCTTCCCCCGCGCCCTTGCACGCGCTGGCCGCGAGCGACTGAGCGCGAGAGGCAGGTGTCGCATCGCCGCCAAACCCAGCACCCGCATCGCTCCTCATAATGTCGACCCAGTCGTCTGTGGGAATACCTCGTGGCAGGTAGTGCGGCTCGCCGCGCTGGCCCCCGCGACTGCCATCTGGCGCGCAAGATTTGGCATGGGGGACGCGCGGCTTGGCAGGGCGACGCCTGGGCCCGATGTCAGCGCGCATCGGGTAGTGCTGCCGTGGCGGGAAACCTCCAACTCGCGATGGCTCCTTCACGGTAGCCGCCAGGAAATCAGACGCGAGCCAGTTGTCCAGACGAGAGAGGCTGCTTGTCGCTGGGCCCCTGCATGCACCTCCCCTGGAGGCAATGGCAATCGCCCTCGGCCTCTGGGGGAGGTCGGAGTTCTGATGGGCATCTGGCGGCGCGGTCCAGTCACCCCCAAAGGCGAAAATGTACGGCATCATAATGAATGCCTCACCAATCCCGGTGAGCTGGTCAACGTCGGCTCCGCTGAGACGCATCCCTGCTCAAGGTAGCTGGGCCCAAAAATCGTTCCGCCTCCGATGCCTGTCTGCTTCGCCTGGCGCTAATAGATCATGTGGTGCAGGATGCACCGCCTTCGATCCATCTCCGAGCCCTTCTTGAAAACGTGATGCGGCATTCCAGCTGCAGAGGAACTGAATGCGAAACTTGGTGCTCGCCGCCCCCCCAACAACTGCGGTCTCATGTCCATGTGGCGCATGGGGGCTGCCGCACCCCGCCACAACATTACCGCCGCGCATGGCTCGCGGGCCCCCGTCGGGACAGCCATGCGCGGAAGCCGCGCCCGAGGGGGAGTTGACGCCTCGTGCGCCGCCGCTCCCTTGGAGGATGGCGGGCCCGCCCGTCGGTGGTCTCGAGCGTGGCAGTGGCGGCCCTGTGGCGACACGCGGCAGCTCTGTAGTACCCCCACGCCCACCCAGCATCAGATCGCCAAGTTTGCTACCCATGTGGCTGCGCTCTTCAGCTCGGTAGACGTAATAGACGATAATCGTCCCATGTAGTGATTGTCGCGGCATGTCGTCCAAGGGAGTGGACGGCGCCGAGCAGGAATAGCCCGCGCAGCACTGATGGTAAGGCTTACGCGTGTGCTCACCTGCCAGTCCCATTCCCATTGTCAGACCTCCCAGGAGGCTCTCGACCTTCTCATGGGATAGCGACGCTCCACAACGAGGGTGTACCTGGCGCGGCTGCTGCGGAGGTCTGTCGTGCTGTCCTTGACGCTGCCGTCCGCTGCTTGACCACGCTGGCCACAACTTCCTGATACTGGCGCGTGGGGGAGCTGACACATGTTCCTTCATTCCCTGCCGTGGCCGTAGGCGCCGCACTGACAATCTTTCCGAGTCGCCCCAATGCGTCATCCACCTCCACATTTGAGACAGCACGTGGTTCGCCATCTGGCGAGGTTGCAAGGACTGCAGGTCGTGCGACCTGGACATCAGAACTGATTGAACTGAGCTCGCCCTCAGCCTGCTGCAGCTCGATGCGCTTGGCCTCGAAACTTTTCTGGAGTTCAGCCACCACATCCTTGAGCTGGGCAACCTGTCTCGGCTTCTGCAGCTGTCGGTCCAGGGATCGCCGCAACTGATCATCTGGGGTCCGTGTAGCTCGCTCAGCTTCTTCAGCCTCTTGCAAATCTCGCCGAGTTGCGATGAGTGAATTGCTGCTCTTTTCGATGCGCAGTCTACGAAGCGTTGCTACTGCCTTTCTGGCTTTGGCAACTGCATCACACATCGTTGGGGGTTCATCAGGTGGCTCCCCCCCCCCCCCTCCAATGCGATCCCCACGAGCACTACTAGGTCGAGACCTGCTGGGTCGTCGCGGGGCACGGGGGCGCGCTGCACGTCGGCCAAGAGGGCCTGCTGGATCTGGCTTGCTTGCTCTGTCCCGCCCGCCCACGTAGCACCTATCGTTGCTTGCAAAATTCCGAACGTACCCGCAGTGACGAATAGCAGCGCACAAGCAACGTGTATTCACCTTGGCACCATCTTTGGCTCTCGTGGGCCAGTTGGCCATGAACTGCGGTGGGCTGGATCCGTGATGTTCTGCAAGCAGTTCTTTCGCGGCCTCGACTCGGAAGACGTGTCTCGCTGCGCTACGGGCTCTCCTGAACCGTCGATGTCACGAAAGGGATGACGTACGCCGCCTCCCACTGGCAGCACGAGGCGCAGGCAGCCCTGCCGCGCGTCAGCGCGGCGGCATCGCAGGGGCCTATCGCGGCGCGCGGCGGGCGCCCTGCTGGGGGCGGGAGACCCTCGAACCCTATCGGGAGGAGGAGGAGGAGGAGGAGGAGGAGGAGGAGGAGGAGGAGGAAAAGGAGGAGGAGGACAAGGAGGAGGGGTCGCCCAAGAACTTTGGAGAAACCCTCCAGGACCGGCCTTCTGCCCAGAATCTGAGCCTCTTGACGGCCCCCGGGCCCGGCGGGGAGCCGCAGAGCACGGAAGCTGAGCGAAGCCTCCCGCCGTGATCTGTGCATGGCCCGAGGGAGTCTGGGCGAGGGGTTTCGCTCCTTCTTCGGCGCCCCAAAGAAAAAGAAGAAGAAGGAAAAGAAGAAGAAAACGAAACATAATAATAAGGGTCTGGTCAGGGGGCATCTTTTTATGTTGCTCCCATCGTACTTGAGGACCACATCCCAGAAATAATCTCGAGCGCCCAGAAAAATGTCGAAACGATGTCAAGCGAGCATCGCCTCCCGGGGCCCGACGCGTGACAACCTTCCGATTTCGGTACTCTCCTGGTTCTCGAGATTCTTTCTGGCGATCAAGGCTGAAGTAGGTCGGAACATCGTCAAGCTTCGCTCCTTCTTCGGCGTCCCTCTCATGGCGCAGCCTCGACCGCACCCGACTCTCCGCTCGAAGGTCCCCGCGTGCGCGCCTCGGCCCTTCCCCTGAAGACTACCCGACGTTGCGACAACGTGGCAACGTCGCGAAGCAAATCACGACCAAAGTTAGGTCGGGCATGTCCCCCTACAGGCGGATTTTGGACGAAAAATTGAAACATAGCAAAGAATAGTCAAACATTGTTTGAACAAATGCTAGAACAATATTCCCCATACTATTGTGTGACTATTTGTGAATATTCCTCCTGTAGAGGGGCATGCCCGACTTCAGACCAGAGCCCCGGACCACATCTCTCTGCGCCACCTTTCGAGCCAGATCGATCTGTGAGGAGATCCCGGGGCCCCTGGTTGGGCGAAAACGCCCGTTGAGAAAAGAGTGCGACGCCAAGATCTCCAGGGGAACGCAAAATGGCATGAACATAAAAAAGATCGGAGGTCCGCGCGGATTTCTCGGATCGGCGCTGGACCCTCGTCGCTGGCGCGCGGAGCGCGCCAGGGGCGGCGCCGGAGGCGCCGCCAGGGGGCCCCAGCGCGGATCCGAGAAATCCGCGCGGACCTCCGAGTTGTTATGTTTATTCGACGAGCGCGTTCCACTACTCGCAAAGTAGCTACTCGCAGATGGCCTGAATCCGCCGCGGGGGATCTACGATATATTACATCGAGGGTAACCGGGCGTTTGCGAGTAGGCACTTCGCGAGTAGTGGAACGCGCCCGGTGATGTATGTCATTCCTCGTTCCCCTAATCTCAGGGAAGGGGATCCGTCTCTTCTTCGGCGCCCCTCGCGGCAGCAGCTCGGCTGCACTCGGCTCCCTGCTCGAATCTCTGCGTCGTCCAACAGATCCCCGTCCCCTCCCCGCACTTGATGATCCTCAGAACGTGTGCTGGCGCCATTGTGTGTTTGTCCATCGAGGCCCTTCGATCCGACGCAGACGATGTAATGCTCTACAGGTTGGGCTACATGGGATAGACACACACACACACACACACACACGCTGGGCTAACACACGGCCTGAGGATCATCGGCTCACGAACGGCGAACATGTCTGTATCCGAACCTTCGCAGTCTGGATTCCGGAGCGACGCCGCGCGGTCGCAAGGATACGTTCCGCGGTGGGCATCCGCAACAAAAACGCTGCGTATCCGCGGAGTCGCGGCCCAGGGGCCAGGCCCGCGAGGCCGCGGATACGTTGGCGGCGCGCACAGGAGGGGGCATGGGGGAGGGGCCCGCGCCTTCTAAGAAGCGGCCTCCTTCTAAGAAGCCTTCCCCCCTCTCCCCCCTTACCCCCCTCTGCTCGAGGCCGCGGATACGGATACTCGGGAGCGGCCAAGAGGGGAGTGTCCAAGAGGAGGGGTGCAAATCATGACCGGCGGCATGTGCGCGGCCCAGCGGGGGGGCCAGGGACGTAATGAAATAAGAAGAGGCGCCATACAATCTGGGGAACTATCATGGCCCCCGCCATGATAGCCACCCCCCGTAGTCATCACCCCCCTCTTTTCCGCTCCCGACCAGAGGTCAGGACACCCTCCCTGGGACTGCAATTCCACCCCGAGTCGATCTGTGACGGCCCCGAGGAGGCCGAAAACCACGAAAGAGCATCCTTTCACGACGCGAGGGGGCCTGGGCCCCCCACCCCCCACGCGAGGAGGGGGAGGAGGGAGGGAAGGCTGGGACGCCGTCCCCGAGATACGTCTTTCGCCCACGATCCCGCCGCCCTGTCCTTCAGCGCCGCCCCGACGCTGCGGCCGATGCCGGTCAGCAGGCTGGAGAGGCCCTCGGCCCGCGCCTCGAGGGGGCCGATCTTGGCCTCCAGCTCCTGGGGGACGTAAGACCTGGGTACAGGGGACTCGGAAATCCCGAGGCCCACGAGAGGCATCCGCGGGGCCAAGAACGGCATCGAGAGGGCAAACTTGGGGCCACGACAGGCATCGAGGAGGCCACGGAGGCAGCGGAACGCGAGGGGCAGCGGGGGGCATTAGGACGGACGAGCAAAACCACCCCGGGGCGACAACAGGCCTTACCGGGCGGGTCAGGCGGGCGGACCCTGACGAGCGGGTCGAGCGGGCGGGGCGCACATGTGTCAGGGGGACGTAAGACCTGGGTAAAGGGGACTCGGAAATCCCCGACGAGGTCGTCAAAAAAATGACGAGGCCGAGCCTGCATTTTGACGAGGCCTCCCGCTGCAGACATCCCACGAAACTCCTCCTCGTCAAAATCCGATGCGCGGTCGTCAAAAAACGATGGCGAATCCGAGTCCTGGCAAACCCGGGTCTTACGCTCCCCCGATCCTGGGGGACAGCTTCACAGACGCAAGGCGTGTCACGAGCGGCGAATGCACGCATCCACGCCCTCGCGGTCTGGTTTCCAGGCTGCGATCCCGCGGGTACGTGGTCGCGCGGGTACGCTCCGCGTGGGGCATCCGCGACACGGGTGCCTGGGCGCCTCTTCCCTCGGCTGCACTTCCGCTTCGACGAGCCTTTTTCGGAGCATCCCGAAGAACTTCCTGCTCTGCAGGCCCCCCCCCTGCCGCGCGCCGCCTCTCCTCCCGTCCTCCGGCCCCCCCTCCTGCCCCCGTGCCCCCGGCATAGCCCGCCCGCGACTCGGGCCCGAGGAGGCCGCCGACCAAAAAGTTTGCGCCGGGGCGCGGGGCTCAACAAACTCATAGAGGCACAACCGCAAAGCCGCCATGCTCCTCGTCCACGTCGTCCTCTTCGTCCTCCTCGTTCCCGTGCTCGTCCGCCTGTTCCTCAGGTGAAGGCGTTGTTCCTCAAAGCGCTGCTGGCATTGGTGCCCAACAGTCGACCATCTGACCAACTGCCACCCAGACGCGGTGGAGGTGGCGGAGATGTGGCGGAGCAGCTGCGTGCTTGGGCCGGATCAGTCAGTATCGAAACGGGGAAGCCAGATCGAATCGGAATGTGCGTCGGGTCGGGCCGCATCGGCACGGAATCGGAATCGAATCGGAGCGGCCGCCCCAAGATGCACAACCACGCCGCGCACACATCGGGCCGCATCGCACCGATGGGCTATCGGAACCGAATCGGATCGGGCCGGTCGTATTCGATGTCGGATCTGACCGGTCGCATCGAATTGGACCCTGTCGGGTGCCCCTGGCTCCTTCAGGCGCTCTCGCGCGGCCTCCAGCTCCTCGGGAGCGGCCAAGAGGGGGGTGTCCAAGAGGGGGGTGGTGCAAATCATGACCGGCGGCTTGTGCGCGGCCCAGCGGGGGGGCCAGGGACGTAAAAAAATAAGAAGAGGCGCCCTGAAATCTGGGGAAATGTCATGGCCCACGCCATGACATCCCCCCCCCCCTAGTCATCACCCCCCTCTTTTCCGCCCCCGAGCTCCTTCTCGGCCCGATCGGCCCGAGCCAAGTTCGCCTCCGCGTCCTCGCGGAAGCGCTCCGCCCTGGCCTCGGCGTCCTGCCGCTCGGACTCCAGCGCGGAGATCCTGCCCTTCGAGGCGTCACTCTGCACCTCTGGGGAACACTGGTTTCTTCCGATGCGCGACTGTGGCAATGATTTGGACGCCCGAAAGGGGTACCGAAAGAATGGGTACAATGCCCAACTACAAATGTTGTCCCAAACCAACAGCGGCCGCTGTTTGGCAGGCGGCCTTCTGTCTCGAATGGACACAGGCCGCGGCGGCGCGGACAGCGAGTCCTGTTCAAAATGAACAGGAACTGCTGTTGGGCATTGTACCCATTCTTTCGGTACCCATGTCGGGCGTCCAGAAATGAACGGCTCGCAATCGACAACAGAGCGACGCGCAGTAAATCAAGACGCGCAGCGTTTGTAACATCGACACGTGTCTGATGGGCACACGTTCTCCGGGGGCGGAAACATCCTGCCCCTCGAGGCGTCGCCGTGCACATCTGAGGCGCACACGTGGGCGACGAAAAGAAACAGGTCTCACGCGCCATGACATCGTGACCTCACGCGGTGGCTTACGCGGGCCGCCAGCGCGGAAGCTACTTTGGAAATTGGGGCGGGTGCGCGCCATCTTATGCAGGCAACTTACCCGCGAATGTCGGCATACTCGAACCCAGAATAGCCCAGAATCGAGTCGACAAGTCGGATCGGCTTTCGAAAATAATCGGATCGGCGGAAATCGGCAGCCACGTCGGGAGAAGTCGAATCGGCAGAAATCGGTGGCCAAATCGGGAGAAATCGACTCGGCAGACATCGGCAAGTTCGTCAAACCACAATCGAGACACCGGGATCCACAACGGAATCCGAATCGAGCCGGAATCGGAATCGATCGAAATCGAATCAAATCGAATCAGAGGTGTCGAAACGAGCCCTGCGCAGCTCAAATTTCTTTTTCCAAGGGCGAAAGCATCCGCCACCGCAGGGTGCGCCCCGTTTCCCACCGCGGCTTGCTCTCAACGGCGATGCTGCGACAGCCTGCTGGCTTCCGCCGCGGAGCCGTGGCCACAGCAGCCCGTGCCAAAGTTGAATCCAGGAACGATCGGGGATGGACAGAACCGCCTTTGGTAAAAACGACCCCGGGCCAAAAGCTGGCGGGCACAAGCCTGGAAAATGACGGCCGCGGCGCCCTCTCGAGAACCGAGAACGGACAATTCACAAATCGACGTGTCAGGGTGGGGTGTCTGTCCACCTCCGACACGAAAGAAACGGGTACGAGTAAAACGGGCACGAAAACCGACACCAACTCCTGTCTACTTCGAACCGGATTCCATGTCGGCGTCGCAGCAGACGTTGCCCACTTGAGACAGAAAGCCGCCTGCCCAACAACGACCCCTGTCGGCTTTGGACAATTTACGTTGTTCGGCGCCGTGCCCATATTTTCCTTCACCATGTCGGGCGTGCCGAATCAAGCTCTGGGGTCGATGGATCCCCTCCTATGCCTATGCCCCCATTGCTGTTGCTCCCGATGCTTGCACCCATATGTCACCGCTGGCGTATAGTTTCTAGCCCCCACCCCTGGGGCAAGCGTCTCCTTCAGCTGGAGTCTGGCGCTCTGCACGACCCCGCCCGTGCTGCGTTTCTGCGGGGGAAAAACCAAAAACTGAACAGACGCACCTGCAAGAGGCCCGCGCAGATATTCCCGGGTCGCGCTGCACCCCCCCCCTGCCCAAACCCCCGACGTCGTGTTTTCCATGACGTGGATCTCCAGCGGTCTGGACCCATTCCCCAGGACTAGTTCTTTCTCCCGAAACGGTTTTGACGGCCCCGAGGCCCGGTAAGGGTCCCTGGAGACTGAACATTTGAAAACAAACCTGCCGTCCTGCATCTTTCACGGCGCGAGCATGTCTGACCGACCTTCCAGTGCTAAAAACCCTGGGACCATAGACCTATCTTTAGGTCGGGCATGTCCCCCTACAGGCCGATGTTGGACGAAAACTTGAAAAGATTCCGAAAATTCTCAAAGCTAATCAATAAATCGTCCCCAGACTATTTCTTTGATTCTATTTAAGTATATTCCTCCTCTGGAGGGACAAGCTCAACTTAAACCTATCCGGACTGCCCAAGACCTCGACTGGAATAGATACGGCGACTCCGAAGGGTGTGGAGAAAGTCGGGCTCCACATCGAGCCGCATCGCCGATGCATCGGCTATGCGGCTCGATCCTCCGCCCCCATCTACTCGGCCCCCGAATTGGGAGGCCTGGGCCAGAGTCGGCGACTCCGAAGGGTATGGTTTGTCAAGCGTGTGGCGTGCAACCCGCACCCTGGGGGGCAGGCGACGACTTTGACAGAGTTCTCCGCCGCGCCCCAGGGAGGCCGACGAGGGCAGTGTCGTGTCCCACAAGGTCTAGGTCGGGTATGTCCTGCTACAGGCGGACTTTGGAGGAACAATGAAGAAGGGTCAAACAATGATCAGAAATAGCCGAGAATAGTCCAAACAATCCTCCCCAGACTATTGCTTGACAATTTTTGAGTGTTCCTCCCGCCGAGGGCCATGCGAGACTTAAGGCAAGGTCCCAACGGCGCTGATCGCAGGCCACACCCGGGGCGCAACCGCACCCGTAGTTGTCGCCGAAGGCTGCGGCCGTGGACCCCGAACCGTCTCTTCCGCTCCCACGGGCGGCGCACATAGCCGTATCCGCGCCCTAGCGGTCCGGATTCCGGGGCGCTACGGTAGAGGGAAACAATTAGTGAACAACCCCCCCTGCCCCCCAAACTCAAAGTTGGCACGCGCGGGGGAGACTGCGGTCGAGGTGCAACTCATCAGACCCACCGCCAACTTTGAACATTGGGGAGAGAGGGAGGCGTTGACAGAAGAATGTGGCATGAGTGTTCGCTATTTTTCCGAGGCCTGTATCCCGCGGATGCAGTGGAGGCCAGTCCACAAGAAGCCTTCCACAAGAAACCCAACCCTGAGACCCCGGGACGTCCCTTGATTGTGAATGTGGGGACGTCACGCCTTCCATGGCTAGACCACCATCGAATCCCAACAAGCCCAGGGCATCCTGGAGGCAAGCAAGGTGTTTCTCGGCATGGGCCTCCACTGTATCCCGCGGATGCGCGGTCACGCGGATGCGTTCTGCGCGGAGAATCCGCGAACCCCATCCGCATCCGCGGGGTCGCGGCCCAAGGGCCCGGCCCGCGATGCCGCGGATGCGGATCTGTTTTTCGCCCACGGGCCCTGGCTTGCCTGTCCTGGTCCCGTGGGCCCTGACACCGCCCCCAGCATTGCCTTCTGGATGTCGGGTCATGATTCGGCATGCCGGCGGCCGCTCGGGGCGATCTGGGGCACCTCTGGAACGCCCTCGGCGAGGAGCAACTGCTGGAAAACATCACCCGGGCACACGCCCACATGGGATAGGGATCCGTGGGTCTGGCGCGCTGGCGCCAGATCCATGGATCGGCGAGGGTGGCCCCCGGAACATGGCGCAAATGCCGCCTGATCCGGCGACGAAGCGCGCCAACGGAGTGATTATGCAAACAGGACCCGTCGCTAATCCACGCGCCTTGCTCCATGTCTGCGCTGCACGGTTTCCCCTGGGGCCGTAGGCGACCCGAGGAGGAGGAGGAGGAGGAGGACGAGGAGGAGGAGGAGGGGGAGGAGGAGGGGGAGGAGGAGGAGGAGGAGGAGGAGGAGGAGGAGGAGGAGGAGAGGAGGAGGAGGAGGAGGAGGAGGAGGAGGACGAGGAGGAGGAGGAGGAGGATGAGGAGGAGGAGGAGGTGGGAGGAGGAGGAGGAGGAGGAGAGCAGGAGGAAAAGGAGGAGGAGGAGGAGGAGGAGGAGAGAGGAGGAGGAGGAGGAGGAGGAGGAGAGGAGGGGAGAAGGAGGTGGAGGGGGAGGAGGACGAGAAGGAGGAGGATGGGGGAGGAGGAGAGGAGGAGGAGGAGAGGAGGGGGAGGAGAGGAGGAGGAGGGGGAGGAGGGGGAGGAGGAGGCAGGAGCAGGAGCAGGAGAGGAGAGAGGAGGAGGAGGAGGAGGAGGAGAGGAGGAGGAGGAGGAGGAGGAGGAGGAGGAGGAGCTAAGCCCTTCGGAGAAACCCTCCAATTGCGCTGCAGCTAAGGAAGGCATCTTGAGAGCGGAAGGCTGGAGGACACCGAGGGCAGCGTCCGCCCCCTGGCATTGCTGGGGCGCCGCTTGGTGGGCGGGGAAGACAGGTGCAGTTCTCGGACCCTTTTGGGACCCCTTTTCAATGGGGCAAAAGGACACACATACACATAAATGCGCACAAGTCCCAGGGTTCCCCATATTTTCATATATATATATATATATATTCTGGTTTCGTCTTCCCCAGACTTCCCATATTTTCCTTGGAGTCGACGATCAATTGTGTCTGTGTGCTTTTCCCCGTCCTGACCTTTTGGGCCCTAAAGGGCCTCTTCAGGGGCCTTAAAAGGTTTTTTTTCTGCAGCCCTCGCTGCCCCCTCCATTTATCGTCCCTCCATCACGCGAAGCCCAAATTGCCCCTCCGGCGGGGGCCAGAAGCCTCGAGCTCCTCCACCCGCTGCTTGGCCCTGTCCATGTCCTTCCGGATCATCTTGAGGTCCTGCTCCGAGATGCCGACGGACTGGTTGGGAGGGCGCCCGCCGGGATCGCTCCCCGATGCTGCCCAAGAGGGCCCCTGGAGGCTCTCCAGGAGAGCCCTGACAGGCACAAGCCACTGACTTGTTATGAGTGTTTCCATGGATCGTTTTCGCGTTCTCGCCGTTTGCCAAAGAAGACGAACCCAGCGGCCTCTATGACAGCCCCAGGGCTGCCCCATAAACACTCCACACCGTCGCGTTCCGTGTTGTTGTTGCTGCTGCTGCTCCTCCAGCCGCCGTGCCCCCGTTCCCGCTCTCCCCGTCCCCATGCCCCTGCACAACTACTCAGTGTGAACCTGACCGGACAAGAACGGGAAGCGTCGCTTTAGTCCACCAAGCATGTGGAATATGCTCTGTTGTTGTTACGCCGCGAAAGTATGCCGTGGCGCGCGTGTCGGCGTGCGTGCGGGGTGTGCTTTGCTGTGTTCCTGTGTGTTCTGCCGTGCTCCTGTTCTGCCGTGCTTGTGTTCTGCCGTGCCTCTGTGTGCTCTGTGTGTTCTGCCGTGCTCCTGTATTCTGCCGTGCGGATCGTCGCGGTGGTCGTTTTGGCGGAGCTTCTGGGCGCGCACGGCAGAAAAAGACCAGAAGCACGGCAGAATAGGCCCGAAGAGCGAAGGAGCACGGCAGAAAAAGACCAGGAGCACAGCAGAATGGACCCCAAGAGCAAAGGAGTACGGCAGAATAGACCCCAAAAGCGAAGGAGCACGGCAGAAAAATACCAGGAACACGGCAGAATAGACCCCAAGAGCAAAAGAGTACGGCAGAATAGACCCCAAAAGCAAAGGAGCAGGCAGAAAAAGACCAGGATCACGGCAGAATAGGCCCCAAGAGCTAAGGAGCACGGAAGAAAAAGACCAGGAGCACGGCAGAATAGACCCCAGGAGCTAAAGAGCAGGGATGAATATGCCCCAAGTGCGAAGGAGCACGGCAGAGAAAGGCCAGGAGCACAGCATAATACACCCCAAAAGCCAAGGAACACGGCAGAAAATTACCAGAATAAGCCCCAAGAGCGAAGGAGCACGGCAGAAAAAGACCAGGAGCACGGCAGAATAGACCCCAAGAGCTAAGAAGCACGGCAGAATAGGCCCCAAGAGCGAAGGAGCAAACCAGAAGAAGACCAGGAACATGGCAGAAGACTAGATATCTCGTCATTTTCGGCAGACTCCAGGGCGCTGTTGGAGCCATCTTGGGCTCCTTTGAGGGCTCTCATTTCTTCGTCTTGAAGCACTTCGAAAACGATGTCGAGGCGATGTTGCGAACATCTCATTTGTTGAGGATGTCCCCAGCGAAATGATCAGTTTCTGCTGTGCTCTTTTTTTTGGTTTGCCGCGCCCCTCACGATTTCCTGAGGATGTCCCGAGCGAAAGCGCAATGTTTTATATGAGAAGTGGTAAACCAGCTTTTCTAACAGATCATTTGTTCGAGGATGTCTCGGGCGAAACGCTACTTTTCATGCACAACAGAATCCTTGACATTTTTCGACATCCCGATGTTCTGAGGATGTCTCGAACGAACACGTCATTTGTTTACAGAAAACGTCTTAAACGATAGCCTCCAACACCTCCATGTTCGGAGGATGTCTCGAGCGATATCGCTGCTTGTGGGAATCCGTCCAACGAAACATTCGGTGACAGAAAAAAAACAGGAGCACGGCAGAATCGACCCCAAGAGCTGCGGAGCACGGCAGAATAGGCGCCAGGAAAGAAAGAACATTGCAAAACACGACCAATGACCAAGAGCACGACAGAATAGACCGCGAGAGCTAAGGAGCACGGCAAGATAGATGCAATAATACAGCATAATACGCCCCAAGGAAGAAGGAGTATGCAAGAACCACACAAGGAGCACGGCAGAATAAACACCGAAAGCGAAGGAGCACTGCAGAATATGCCCCAAGAGCTAAGGAGCACGGCAGAAAACGACCAGGAGCACGGCATCATACGCCCCAAGAACAAAGGATTGTGTCAGAAAATGGCCAGGAGCATGGCAGAATAGGCCCGTAGAGCGAAGGAGCACGGCACACAAACAACAACGAGCATTGCAGAATAGACCCCGTGAGCGAAGGAGCACGGCAGAACTGCTCATTCTGTGCCTTGCTCCTTTTTCGCCGACCATGCTCCGCCCGATTTTTTTGAGGATGTATGCAGCGAGAACGCGATTGTTAACATGCGAGGTATTAAAACCGCCACTCCAAGATATCATTTTTGTTAACATGTCTCAGGCGAGACACCCGTTTTGAACATCTGTCGAATTCGCGGCTTCCCATGTTTAAGGGATGTCTCAGGCGACACGCTCATGTTTGATGACATCGATGTTGTGAACATTTCATTGTTGTAAGGATTTCTCAAACGAAATCGCAATTTTGGATCGTCTCGAGGGCGCTCCTGAGGGTCAACGTTGGGCTTGTTTTGGGCCTTTTGGGCCCTTCTTGATGCCTTACAAAACCGTTACAGTTCGATGTTACACACATTCAGTTTTTCAGGATGTCCCTAGCGAAACCGTCATTATGACTGGCTTAAACCATCTAGAAGCCTTTTCAGGAGCGACCCCAAGACGATGTTAAAACAGCAGTTTTCAAAACGATGTTGTTTGATTTGTTATTTTGTTGAAGATGCCCCTAGCGAAATCACTATGTCCAGCAACCTTAAGGGCGCTATTGGAGCCATGTTGTGGCCGTCTTTTGCTTCCTGATGCCCTCCGAAAATCTTTACGATGCGATGTCGCACGCATCATTTTTTTGAGGATGTCCCTACCGAAATCGACATTTTTTTGAAGGCTGCCTTGGGCCGTCTGGAAGCCCTTTCAGAAGCAATGTCAAAACTATGTAAGAACAACAGTTTTCAAGTCGATGCTGGTGTATGTTTTCACTTTTTGAGGATGTCCCTAGCGAAATCGCTATTTTCGGAAGTCCCCCAATCGTTCTGACAGCCATCTTGACGTGCTTTTTGGCCTCTCATTTCGTCATCTTGAGGTACTTCGAGAACGATATCAAGACGACGTTGAGGACATCTCATTTTGTTGAGGATGTCCCTAGCGAAATGCAACTTTTCTGCCGTGCTCTTCGTTCTGGTCCGCCGTGCTGCCGCTCGTTTTCTGAGGATGTCCCTAGCGAAATCGCAATTCTTAACATACGAGTTAGTTAAAGACTTCAGTCGTCATTTCATTTTTTCGAGGATGTCCCAAGCGAAGCGCAAATTTTCACAGACGGCGAAATTTCGCTGTCATCAACTGTTCGAGGATGTCTCCAGCGAAACGCTTGTTTTTGTTAAACGCGATGTCGCGAAGATCTAACTTTTGCGAGGATGTCTCACGTAAAATCGCCATCCCGAGGAACCTGACCGGACAAGAACGGGAAGCGTCGCTTTAGTCCACCAAGCATGTGGAAAATGCTTTGTTGTTGTTATGCCGCGCAGGTATGCCGTGGCGCGCGTGTCGGCGTGCGTGCGGGGTGTGTTTTGCTGTGCTCCTGTGTGTTCTGCCGTGCTCCTGTTCTGCCGTGCTTCTGTGTTCTGCCGTGCCTCTGTGTGCTCTGTGTGTTCTGCCGTGTTCCTGTATTTGCCGTGCGGATCGTCGCGGTGGTCGTTTTGGCAGAGCTTCTGGGCGCACACGGCAGAAAAAGATCAGGAGCACGGCAGAATAGGCCCCAAGAGCGAAGGAGCACGGCAGAAAAAGACCAGGAGCACAGCAGAATGGACCTCAAGAGCAAATGAGTACGGCAGAATACACCCCAAAAGCTAAGGAGCAGGTAGAAAATGACCAGTAGCACGGCAAATTAGGCCCCAAGAGCGAAGGAGCACGGCAGAAAAAGACCAGGAGCACGGCAGAATAGACCCCAGGAGCTAAGGAGCAGGGCTGGATATGCCTCCAGTGCGAAGGAGTACGGCAGAGAAAGACCAGGAGCACGGCAGGGTAGACCCCCAAAGCTAAGGAGCACGGCAGAGAATGACCAGGAGCACGGCAGACTAGGCCCCAAGAGCGAAGGAACACGGCAGAAAAAAACAGAAGCACGCCAGAGTAGACCCCGAGAGCTGAAGGAGTGCGGGAAAATAGACCACAAGAGCGAAGGAGCAAACCAGAAAAAGACGAGGAGCACAGCAGAATAGAACCCAAGAGACAAGGAACACGGCAGAATATGCCCCAAGTGCGAAGGAGCACGGCAGAAAAAAGGCAGGAGCACGGCAGACAAAGACCAGGAGCACAACAGAATAGGCCCTATGAGCGAAGGAGCACGTCGGAAACAAACCAGGAGCATGGCAGAATCGACTCCAAGAGCTGCCGAGCACGGCAGAAAAAGACCAGGAGCACGGCAGAATAGACCCCAAGAGCTAAGGAGCACGGCATAATCTGCCCCAAGAGCGAAAAAGACGCCAGAAAAAGACCAGGAGCACGGCAGAAGATGCCCCAAGAGCTAAGGACGACGGCAGAAAAGACCGAAACACAGCAGAAAAAGGCCCGAGGAGCCAAGGAGTACGACAGAACAGACCAGGAGCACGGCAGAATAGGCCCGAAGAGCGAAGGGGCAAACCAGAAAAAGACGAGGAGCACGGCAGAATAGGCCCGAAGAGACAAGGAGCACGGCAGAAGATGCCCCAAGTGCGAAGAAGCACGGCAGAAAATGACCAGGAGCACGGCAGAATAGACCCCCAGAGCTGAGGGGCACGGCAGAAAAAAGACCAGGACCACGGCAGAATAGACCCCAGAGCTAAGGAGCACGGCAGAAAAAGACCAGGCGCACTGCATAATAGGCCTGATGAGCGAAGGAGCACGGCAGAAAAAAAACAGGAGCACGGAAGAATAGACCCCAAGAGCTGAGGAGCACGGCAGAAGAGGCCCAACGAGCGAAGAACACGGCAGAACAAAAACATGAGCACGGCAGACTAGACCCCAAGAGCTAAGGCGCACGGCAGAAGAGGCCCGAAGAGCGAAGGAGGACGGCCAAAATAAGACCAGGAGCACGGCAGAGTAGACCCCAAGAGCTAAGGAGGACAACAGAAAAAGACCAGGAGCACGGCAAACCAGGCCCGAAGAGCGAAGGAGTACGGCAGAAGACGACCAGACGGCAGAGTATACCCCAAGCGCTAAAGCGAACTGCAAATAGACACCAAAAACGAAGGAACACGGCAAACATACTCATTCTCTGCCGTGTTTTTTTCGTCTGCCGTGCTCCGCCCGATGTT